GAACTAAATAAGATTCCCTAAACAATGGAGAGAATGTAAATAGAACAATTTAAATCATGATACATAAAATATGTAGGATTGAATTCAATATAACAAACATAGATATTTCTTTTAGTAAAATTCAATGGTATAAAAAATCTCATATGCCATTTTAACAAACTCCTGTTTTTTTTGCTTTTCTCTAGGCAAAGACATTTCAAGGTTAAATTAAATATGGAAATATGTGAAAATAAATGCTGTTCTTTAATTCAATATGTCTTATCATGGTAATTTTGGATTCCAAAAACTGTATATGTTAATAAATTTAACTTTTTAACACTTGGTCAAGTGAATAGTTTTACAAACAATAATATAAATTCTACAGCTTTTATCAATTATGTACAAGTGCAGTCTATCATAGACAGTGTTTCACATGACATAGGAAATCATTTCATTTTGCTAATAAAGTTATTTTCTCCTGTTAATTTTTCTGTTTATTTTTTTCTAGTCTTATGACATTAGGTAAGCTCTACAGGGAATGTTAAATATGATTCGGATGAGCAGATATCCTTGTCTTTTGTCTGACCTTAATGAGAGGTAATAAATCAGTCTTTTGCTATTTCTAGATTTGACCTTAGTACTCTCTATCAGGTTGAATATGTCTTTTACTATTCTTAATTTGGTGAGAATTTTTGTAAAGAATCTTTTTGAATTAAGTAAAAAAATTGACGTTAATTGAATAACAATACAATTTACTCCTAAATATTTTTAATTTGACGTTGTTGTATACAAAATTGTTTTCAATTTCATTTTTGAATTATTATAAAATTTTAATAATAAAAACTATGCTTTTATAATTTGCAAATTTCACTATTTAGACCCATCAGCAAATGATATATAGGCAAAGTAATAAATTTAAAGGAAAGCAACATTTTTCTATAAGACCTGAATTAAATTTTACACTAACTTATTCACACTTCTAGGGAAAGCTTTGTACATGTATTCAAAGTGAAACAAATGTGTATTCTAAATTATTTGAATGGGTATTTATGAATAAATATATATAAGTGTTCAAAAACAGTTACAGAATGATCATGTAAACAGAAATTTTACTGAAGAGTTCAAAGGGAAAGTGAATTCTGATTTTATTTGTGGTATGTTCTTGATATACAATTAAAATATTATATTGATGTTTCACAGAAATATATTTCTATTAAAAGTATGCATGCATTTTGTAGAGTGACATTATATTTTCTAGATTTACAAATGTTACTTAGAATATTCTATACAATATGTTAGAAGAGCATAATATTTTTATCAGAAGGCTCAAATAATTTATGTTTTACCTTTCCTTTTTTAAATACTGTAATGCATTTAAATATATATGAGTATCAAATTGAAATATAAACCACTAAGCAATGAATTAATAGACACTTAAAACAACCAAGGTGCATCTTATTGTCAGTAGATTCTATTTTAGAGAAAAATACATTATTTACTGAATATATGTTTTAGCCTGAGAAAACAGTATCTGTATGTGACGAGTGGATTACTAGAAGCTCATTAGGCTTTAACTTTTTCTCTGCTTAATTGTGATTGATGCTATATCTCTAGACACACATAAAACAGGAAAGAAGGAACTGCTACTGCTGAATATCACTGCTAACTGGACAGCCAGTTTTTCTAAAAGTTTTATCATGAGCTAAAAACAAGGAAAGATCAATATCAAGCTGTCCAAGTAAATGAGAAAATGCAATAACATCATTCTTCAATTTATACTATACGTTGATGCTGCCAAAGTCAAAAGACATGAGATTTTTAACCTTAAAGAAAGGAAGGAAATTTTCTGCAATGAAATTGATGCTGCTAAATAAGCAAACCATGTTCTACACAGTAAGTCAAGGACATATAAATTGAATACAAGGAAATGGCTTGAAATGTGTTTGACCCATATACCATGGATTACTTAAAAAATATCCCTTTTTATTTTAACACACCACATTATTTCAAAGATACAAAAAATTCTTCAAGCAAAAAAGATAACAGTTTACTGTTAAAAGTCTTGAGCAACCTCTTTTAAAAATAATCATCTATAAGCCATTTGAATTTTTATCCTTTATTGTTAATAATTAAAATATATCAATTAAGGGATATATTTTAGTCAAAATTTTCAAGACAATCCTGAAATTATCCTGCATTTGTTTTTGATATCCAATTGTTAGTGTTTAGATCTGGAATATCACCCTGAATCTCATGAGTTGGTGATTTGATGATACTTTGGGGAGGTGCTGGAAACTTTAGAAGATGAAGCTTAGTTGGGGGAAGTGGATGTCTAAGCCTGTGCTCTTTTTTGGAGGGTGGAGTTTGTGACTGGGCTTTTTCTCTGTAACAAACTCTCTTTCTTTCTCTCCTTCCCATTCACTGTGATACAGAGCTCAGTCCCACCACTATCTCACCATAAGCCCAGAAAAACTGGTGCCAAGATTTCAAATAGAAACCTCTGAATCTGTGAGACAAAAGAAATATTTCTTTTGCCTAGGCATTTTGTCACAGTGATAGCATATCCATTATAACAATTTCTTACTTCACTTGAAAGAGTTTTCTTTCTTAAGAAAGGTCTTAGTTTTATAAATGCTCAAATATTATTTAATTAATTTATTTATATTTTTGAGACAGGATTTTGTTATGTAGTTCAGGGTGGCTTTCAATTCATTTTGTCCCAGGCTGTCCATGAACTCAGAGCAATCCTTCTACCTTAGCCCACCAAGTGCTGGGATTACAAGCATGTGCCACCCCACCCAGCCTTAAATATCAATTTAGTTTTGTGTACTATCAGTGGAAATTAGCATGCACTCAAAATGATTGTTTTCTCAGTACTTTCCAAACTGATCATTAGAACTAGTATGACTGTCCAATTCAACAGGTAGACCAGGAAGCCAAACAATCCCAATTTGTAATGCTGATGATGGAGTTCATGTGAACTTTTCATTATTCTAGATAATTTTACTATGTTTACCCATTTTTCACTCCCTTAGTTTTTCTATATTATATGTGAGACTTTTTCTCACAGCAATTTTTAAAGTCATTGTAAGACCAAATCCCTGTACTTACCCAAAGCTGATGATGTTGCTTTCCATTCATTAAAGAAAATTCAGGAAATAAGAAAAGAATTTCCGTGAACTACCAATCTCCTTTGATTACTACCTGAAGTAGTACCTATGGACTCTGTCTCTTTATTTCTTTTTTCCCTCCATTTTTTCTTTTTCTCATATTTATTCCTTTTCCTTCTTTTTCTGTCCATTACCCCCCCTCCCCACTTCCCTTTCCCTTTTGAACCTTTTCCTCCCATTTAAAACTCTATTATATATTTAGATCCTCATTTACACTTTCAGTTTCTCATACCTGAAGAAACTATTTGGTAATTACACATGTGTGTTCTATTTATTTCACTTAAGAGTATGGCCTCAATGTGCATTCATTTAGCTATAAATGACAATAGTTTCTCATTCTTTTTATTGTTTGGAACTGGGGATTGAATTCAGGTCCTTGTGCTTGTGCAGCAGGTGGTGAAACCACTGAGCTAAATCCCTGGCCCTTAGTTTCTCATTCTTTATTGCTGAGTGGTGCTCCATTTTATTTAAAAAAAAGACATTTTCTTTATCCAGTCTCCAGTTGATGGGCAATTGGGCTGTTTCCAAATTTTAGCTATTACAAACTGTGTCACTATAAACATGTGTGCACATATATTGCTGTAGTATGATGCTTTTAATTCTTTGGTGAAGACACCAGCAGGGGAATAGTTGGGTCACATGTGACCTCTAATTCTAATTTTGTGAGGTATCTCTGTACTAATTTCCAGAGTGGTTGCACCAGTCTACCTTCCAACTGACAGTGGAGAAAGGTTCCTTTTTCCCAACAACCCCACCAGCATTTGTTATTGGTTGTTATTATTTGTTATTTGTTATTATTTGTTATTATTTGTTATTATTCTTTCTGGGATGAGGTGAAATCTCAGTGTTGTTTTCACTTGTGTATCTGGAATGAACAGTGATGTTTAACAGTTTTTCTTATGTTTATTTGCTGTTTCTATCTCTTTGAGAGAAACTTTCATTTCAGATGTCCATTTTTGGATAGGGTCTTTAAATTTGGGAGGTTTGCTTTTTAAAATTCTTTAAATATTTTAGGTAGTAGAACTTTATCTGAGGAACAGCTGGTAAACTTTTTTTCCTGCATTGAGATGATCATATGGTTTTTGTCCTTGGCTCTTTTAGTACAATGTATTACATTTATTGATTTGTGTATGTTGAACCATCCCTGCATCCTTAGGATGAATCTCACTTGGTCAGGGTGTATGATCCTCTTGATGATCTTCAGCATTCTGTTTGCCAGTATCTTACTGAGGATTTTTGCTTCTATGTTCATTAGGGAGATTCACCTATAGATCTCTTTTTTTTTGTTGGATCTTTCTCTGCTTTTGGGATCAGTGAATACTCATATTAGGAAAACAGAGATAGCTCAAATAAACAACCTAATGCTGAACTTTAAACTTCTAGAAAAAGAAGAGCAGAATGAAACTAAACCTCATACAATAGAGGAAATTATAAAGATAGGAGCAGAAATCAATGCAATGGAGATTAAAAGAATGATACGCAAAAATCAATGAAGCCAAGAGTTGGTTCTTTGAAAGAGTGAACAAAATTGACAAACCCTTAGCCAACCTTATAAAAAACTGGAAAGAAAAGCCCTAAATCCATCCAATTAGGAACAAAAACATTGAAATTACAACAGACCCAGCAGAAATACAGGGGGTCTTCAATACCTACTTTGAGAACCTACACACCAATAAGATGGAAAACACAGAGGAAATGGACAGATTTCTAGATACATATGAATTACCAAAGTTGAAAGAATAAGATCTAAAAATTTTAAACAACCCAGTTATCAATAAACAAAATTGAAAATGTAGTTAAAAATTACCAATGAAGAAAAGCCTGGGTCCTGATGAGTTCACTGCTGAATACTACAAGACCTTTAGAGAAGAACTAGTGCCACTACTGTTTAAATACTTCAATGAAATTGAAAAGGAAGCAATACTCTATTTCTTGTAGTATATCAACTTTGCATGTTCTTATATCAAAGAAGTTTTTCTGCTTGTGCATTAGATTTACCTCTTCTTTGTAAATATAAATCCATTACTCTTCAATACTCTTTATTTTTCAATTTTTGTTAATAGTATCTGAGAAAAGATTGGTGCCAGGTAACCTGGAGAAATGATTGAATCATGGGAGTGTTATAAACTCATCAGTGGACTAACTTCCAATGTTCAGAGTTGAATGTGCTATTTAGAGGAGGTGACCCTAGCACCTTGTCTTTGAAAGGAATATCTCCCACTGAAGCTCTTTCTTTGTGTGTGGCCTGATGGTCTAGAAGTGAGCAGCTTTACTCTAGCACACCTTTCCACCATACTGCTGCTTTGAAGTCATGTGATCAGGGACTGAAGGCTCTGAAACCATAAACCCATTTTCTCCATTAATTTGTGGGTGTCACACATTTTGTAGCAGCAATGGAATAGCTGACTGATACAAGGGCTATAGATCTAGGCTTCAATTTATAACCTTAATAAAACTGAGCTATACTTGATATTTTCTGAAGCTAGAGATTCTAGAGGGTTTGATTTTGTACATTGTCATCTCTTCTCTGTTTTCTACAATTTCCATAAAACATCTTCTTAAATAGAGTTTATACCACACTTCAGTGAACAGCAATCTAATGTTCTTTGTTTTACAGGACCATGCTTGTTGTTGTGATAAGGTACAGGAATATTTTGAAGTCACTGTTGCATGAATTCCAGATAACTGCAATGAAGCAAATATTACAGTTAATTAATTCACATGAGATTTTATTTCCCATTTTACTTAGTAGATATGTTTACATTGTGCTGTATTGTACAAACTGGGCAATACCATTAAGTCAAATAAATTTACCAATTAAAAAATTTATTGCTAAAAAGTGCTACCTATTGTCATAGTCTTCAGCAAGTTGAAATATTTTGTTTGTGGAGGTCTTGCCCCAATGTTGACAGCTAATGAAAGATCAGGGTGATGGTTGCTGAAAGTTGGTGTGGCTGCAGAAAATTTTGAAATAAGACAAAAATGAAGTCGGTCATGCTTATTGACTCTTTTCTTCATCAAAGCTTTCCTGTAGCATGTGACACTGCTTGATAGCATTATAGCCACAGAAACTTTACCAAAATTGGAATCACTCCCTCAAGCCCCACTATTGCTTTGTCAGCTAAGTTTTTGTGTTATTGTACATCCTTTCTTTTAATTTTATGAATGTAGCTATCATCTTCACAAGGAGTAGACTGAAGAAACCATCTTTTGTTTACTGTAAAGAGTAACTTCTCATTTTTAAAAAGTTTTATCTTGGAATTACATAAACTCAGTCACATCTTCAGACTGCTAGTAATAGTTTTTGTCTTCTTCCGATCATATCTGGAGCTACTTCCAATACTGAAGTTCGGATTTCTCAAAGTTTCCCATCAAATTTGGCATCCTCTTTCAAGCTTCTTTTATTGTGGATATTTTGGCCTCCTGATAGGAATTAAAAATGTTTGTGATGACATCTAGAATGCTTTCTAGAAGATTTTCAAATTACTATGTCCAGGACCTTCAGAGGAATTACTATCCATGTCAGCCACACCCTTACAGACTATATTGCATGAATTGTACTACTTGAAAAACAAAATTATTCCTTATTCCATGGTCTCTAGAAGAGATTATGTGCTACCAGGCATAAAAATTATTTATCTAGTTGTGCTTTTCATCAGAGTCCTTAAGCAACCAGCTAAGAGTTCGTGAGCAAGGATAATTGGAAAGGAAAAGATATTGAATTATATATGTAGAAATAATCAAAATTTATTTTAAATTTTATCTCTACAAAGAGGCTTTCTTAAAAAATTAAATGCATTATCCTGATTAACATGCAAAGACTATTTATTCATCTTATTCTATCCCCCCCCTTTATTTTCTTCAAATGTGCCGTACATACTGTATTCAAAGGACCTTTGTTAGTTTGATCTACTCCATAAGTCCAGAAGGGTTATAGCAATCAATCAATAGTTTTAATTTAAAAAAATACATGCTATTTATAAGTAATACAAGATGTCTCTCAAATTTATTATGAGATATCAAAAAAATTTAAAAGGATGAAATAAAATAAATGCAAACCAGGAATTGGAATTCATTTAATTGTAATGATGGAAAACATTTCATGTTTTGATTTCTCCATTACTGTAGTATTTCAAGAAAGATATCTGAAATTTTTATTTTTGGACTTATTGTTTTATTTAATTTTTCATTTACTTAGTATGCAATATTTACTTATACATATTTACCATTCATCTTAAACCCATTACTCAGGTAACATATACTATTAGGTAACTGTTTTATATGAGTCTTCCTTATCTCAGTAGGTATATTATCCATAAGAATACTGGAAATTTTTATACCCTTATGTAATTATATAGATGAAAAATTGATACATAGAGACTAAGTATACACAGATGTCATCACTTTAAACATTTTTTATGAATTCCCAAGGAACATCAACTTGAACAATGATTTTAAATCACATATCTAAAACAAGGACTTAAATTTTTATGATTACTTGGTAAATTAACAACCATAAATAATTAGTAAACTTTAGTGTAAGTGGGCTGAATTCATAGAAATTGCTCTAATGTCTAATGTCAATATAATGAGAAGACAAACTTTTTCCCTGTTTATAAAAATTAATTTAGTATTTTTCTCATATTTATCTTTATTCTGGGAAAAATGTTTAGGAGAATTTACTAAACAACATTTGTTATTAGAAGCTTCAATTAATATGTTATTGAAGCAAAAGTAAGAAAGAAGAAAAAATGTCATCTCATTTTCTAGTTTTGACTCTCCTAGGTCATTATTTTTTGATGTCTTTAGGATCATTTAATTACAGATTTTATTTTTTGGCCTAATATAAAAACTCTCCATTAACTCAAATATTTTTAAACAAATATTCCAAATGCAAATATGAAGTTAAATCTTATATGCAGCATTAAGCTAATAGTTAATAACCTCTATGTAATTACATGTTCTTAAACACTTTCCTTACAAAGTAGTTTTTCATTCCTATTCCCATTTTATACATGAGAAACAAATGTTGATGAAAAAATGAAAAGTTTATACAGCTCTTTTAACTCAAACCAGATGTCATTTTTTTCTTTAGCTACAAGTCTTTTCTCTTTACATTATGAAATAGTGCTTCCCATGAGCATTAATATATGTGGATGCATGCATTTTTCACACTAATGACCACTACATTTAAGACATCTTTATGCTCTCAAATATTGCAAAGAAATTTGAAATGAATAAGAAATTTATAAAGACAGTCTTTAACTTCTATTTTTTTCTTGAATTGTTAGCACTCCTACATTGGGCACAAGCATTATAATATTTGCTCAGGGAAAAATCCTGTTTTGTTTATAAAATATATAATTTTAATATCAATGAGAAATTGACAACATTTTTTATATTTACAGTATGATATTAATTTAGAAGTGAAAGAATATTCTCAAATTAAGCTATCATATAAAGCATGTGATGTATAATTTTACAATTTTTTGTATAATTTACAAAGGTATTAACATGGATACAATGATATACATTATTCTGTATAATAGGGATCACAACTTCATAGAAACAAAATTAGTTATGGAAGTTATATTATAAAATAATTTCCCATAGGATATCTACATTGAGATTGGTTTTGTGGAATCTTAAGGATTTCACTTTAGATATAAAGTAATGTTGGATAAGACAGTGTAACTACACAGACTATGGTACAAACAAGGACATCTGTTTGTATTACCATAAATAGTTATGAATTGAGCATCTCAAAAGGCTTTCTCAGCAGAGCAGTGACTCCTAACTTATTTCACTAGCAGGTAGAAGCCTTAGTTTTCACAGGTTGGTAACTTTCATTGCAATGTCTGAATAGTTTCAAATTCAATAACTCTAAACAGCATACTTTAAGGGACAACACAAGACTGAGTTGCTAATGGCTTCTTGCTGGGTAGTGAGCTTCTTCAGCTATAATTTTCTTCATTACTTTCCAAAAATTTAATTTCTAAACTCAGATTTACTTCTTCAGAGCACAATTTCTGGGCATGGTGGCACACACCTATAATTCCAAATACTTGGGAGGCTGAGGTAGGGAGATCATCAGTTTAAGCACAACCTAGGAAATTTAGTAACCTAGTTAGAGCCTGTATGGAAAAAAAGAATAAAATAAAAAAGTTCTGAAGATATAATTCAGTGAGCCCTGGTTTTATATCCTGATAGCAACAACAAACAAACAAATAAGAAATGAATGAATATGCTATCCAGTATAATATCAACAAAGAAAATATAGAGATTGGTGTGCCACAGCTCCCAGGCATGAGGATTCTGGATAGGTGTGCTGCTGCTACCAGCACAGAGGAGGCTTCTGGGTCAGCATGCCATGACTCCCAGCCCAGAGGAGACTTCCAGATTGGTGCATCATGGCTCCCAGGCAGGAGGATACTTCTGGGTAGGTGTGCCATGGCTCCCAGCCCAGAGGAGACTTCTAGATTGGTGTGACACAGCTCCCAGGTAGGAGGAGGCTTCCAAGTAGGTGTACCATGGCTCCCAACATAGAGAAGGTGAGACATGAGGGCACCAGGAATGCACACACCACACCATCTCCTCAACCCTCCACCCAGCCCCAGCATCAAAATGAGAAGACAGGTAAACAAGCCACAGAACAAGACTTCTAGATCACCTACATCAACAACAAAGGGAAACAAGATGGAACACTCTGATACTCAACAACCACTCCCTAAACTAGCAATGAAAGAGGATCTGGAAAAAATGAAATCAGAAATGATTTCTCACATAACAGCAAAGACTGTGCACATAGTGCAAGACATGATTAATAAATCTAGAGAGGATACAGATAAAAAAAATAGAGGAGCTGAGAAACATGATGGAATGCCAACATAGGAAACAAATTGAATCCGTAAAACAAATGCAAATAGATTTCCAGGAGATTAAAAACTCCATTGAAAGTCTTTGCAGAACAATGAGACAATGTGAAGACAGAATTTCAGATATAGAAGATAAGGTTGCAATTACTGACCAGGAAAATAAAAAATTCTTTAAAATTTTAAGGGACTACAAGAAATCAATCCAGCATGTGCTAGATGATGCAAAGAAAAATAACATAAGAATGACTGGAGTCAATGAAGAAACAGGAGAGAGTGCAGATGACATAAAAAAAAAACTGTTTACAGAAGTGATGGCAGAAAATATCCCAAGTAGGGGAAAAGAATGTGACATACAGAAAACTGAGGCATATAGGACTTCAATTAGCCTTGATCAAAAAAAATCTACACATAGGCATATAATTGTTAAGATTCCAGAAACCAAACAGAAAACCAAAATTCTACAAGTAGAGAAAAGAAATGAATCACATACAAAGGAAACCTCATCAGAATCACAGCAGACTTGTCAGTGCAAACACTCAAGGCAAGAAGAGCTTGGAGTG